TCCCTACCATTAATGCTTAGACAATTTACACTGCACACGTCTGCGGTGCAGTGTGGCTCTAATATGGCCACTGAAGCGGATTACGGTCACTCAGTGCTTGTGTTTATGTTTTTATACAGGCTATGGTTTATTCCAGCTGCGCCACACGTTTCTGAAGCGGCTCTCTTTGCTGCTTCTGTAAAGATACACGCATAAGCCTCCTTTGAATAAATATAGCCAAAATCCGTCAAAATCCCACTAAAATCCGTTGCCATGACTTATCGCGAGAGGCAAAAGGTTACGTTTTAGTCGCATAACATTGGTTAATGGAAACGCCGTCATTTCGCAATACTTTTTTATCGACATTTATAAAATATCGCCAAAGTTTTGCGCAAATCTGTAATGAAAACGCACCTAGTGAGGCTCACTATGATGGTGATGTCATACCTGTGAGGCACGTGTTCAGTGGTTCGAGGCGCTTGTTTCGTACCTCGGGTCTCTTCGCAGACGCTCGTCCGACTGACAGCTGAACACAGACACAGAGACTCACTGTTATTACCACAGAAACTAGCAGGAACTCCATCAATTGAAATAATCAGAATATAAATAGATTAAATACTTATATTAAAACAATCTAACTTAATCAAAATGCTTAAAAAACACATAAAAAATCAATAATTTTTTTGTTGTTGTTGTTAGGAAGAATATTAATTTTAAAGAACAAACCAGGGTTATTATAGTCACTAAAACCATTAAAAATAAAAATAAAAAAAACAATTTTGTTAAAAATAAATAATACAATTTGACGTTTTTATGAATATTTCTTTAATACATTTTATTTTTATTTAAATTTCTTATTTAAATTAATTATTTTTAAAAATATAATTATTTTTAATTTAATAAATTACATTTTTATAACTTTATCTAATCTTTATATTTAATTTTTATTTCAAATAACAATAATGTTGTTTTTAATAATTTTAGGTTCAGTTAACAGTAATAACCCATATACACAGCATAATAATGATATAAATTGTATTTTATTTAATCTTTATTTCAATTAACAATATTGCTTTTAATACTTTGTTAACTATAATAACCCTGATGCATACATATACATACAAACATAATACAATACTATAATAATAATAACAATACATTAAAAAAATTTTTTTTTTTAAATGGCTACTACTACAGATAAGATATAACGATCATTATTTTCGCAAAGTAAACTCCATCAGGCTGATTAGGAGCCTGATGCAGACGCTGATCACGTGACCTACTCAATATATAGAAATGATCATTAAATATTAATCAGAGTGTGAATGATTGTATTCTGTGAGCAGAGATGTCAAACCAGCAGAGCTCTGCAGGAAATCGAAATTTTGAATATTGTGTGTGTGGGCGCATGTGTGAGTGTGTGTGAGTGTGTGTGTGTGTGTGAGAGTGTGTGTG